AGATAGATAGATAGATAGATAGATAGATAGATAGATAGATAGATAGATAGATAGATAGATAGATAGATAGGCAGGCAGGCAGGCAGGCAGGCAGGATAGATAAGATAGATAAATAAAATAGATAAATAAATAAGATAGACAGATAGACAGACAGAATAATTTTATTGTCACTTTGAATGTACACTAATTGGCATACATTAAAATGAAATATATTTGCATACAGCTCTCAAAGGGTCTCCACCTCCAATATACACTACATAACCATGACACAATAAACAAACAAACAAACATGCAAATACCCACATATATTATATGACACAGAGAAACACCAGTCTAGTTCAGATGTACATGGCAAGAAAAACGAATCTTGACTGTTTTCCTAAACCCATCCCCATGGACTTGCTGGGTAACATTTAATCAACCTATATTTGGCAAGGGAATAAGAAACTACTGAAACAAATGCTGCCTTTTTATTCTAAAAAAGAAAAGAAATATTTTTTTTGATTTTTTGCTGGATTTCCGTCCAAGTTCTAACCTGGCTGGTTATTCTTAGCAAGCTAAGACCAGCTCAGTGCTGCCATCAACAGGGCTTTTTATTTCTATTCTTTTGCATTATCTTAATCAAAGAGCAGCTCTAGTTGCACTAGAGCTCCATCACTGGAGGTGTTTAAAAAGAGACTGGACAACCCTTTGTCTGAAATGGTATAAAGTCTCTTGCTTGAGTAAAGGGCTGGACCAGATGATCTCCAAGCTCCCTTCCAACTCTGTTATTCTATTATTGGATTTAGGGTTCGACATTATATGTGACTCCAGCCATTTTCTGGTTAGCCATGAGTGAGGCTATTAACTCTAACATGGATGACCATTCAGTGGAAGGCCACATGTTTGAAATATGTCGAATGCACGCATGACTAAAGAGGCTGAATGAGGACAATAGGTAAACTAAGTCAAATCATCTACTGATCTTCCAAAGAGCTGCATTTATTAGGACAACTGTTACATAAATCTGGAAGCTTCCAGATCAACGGTACTTAACCTGAACAGATAGATCTACTACCTCTTGTTCTCTTCAACTGAGCTTGCGCAACGGATATTCCTCTCTTGACTTTGATTTGCGCTGAAGTCAACGTTGAAGGGAAACAATTCATTCCGAAATGTGGGTTCATAAAAAGCATACTAGGCAGTCAGGGACTGGGCCAGTGTCACTCAGAGAAGGTAAGTGGGAAGACTGTGCCAAATCTTTTTCACCCTACTTCCAGCATTCATCACGACAGAGACCTTGTCAAAAGCCCAGGGGATTACAGGTTAAGCGCTTGGGCAAGGGTGGCCTGGATTACGCAAAGCGTTCCAACATTTGTGCAAGACTCAGTCCTGAGCTCAGCAACACGCAAACAGCCAAAAGGTGTGTTGCAAGACCTCACCTGCTACTGGTTCAGAACAGATTTGCAGCACACTGATACCTACTCCTCACAAGTTCTCCAAACATTAAACTTTCTGAGGACGCTTAAATATATGAAGAGTTGCCTTTCCTGGAGTTAAAAAGTTTATTGTGAGTTTCATGGCTACTGCCTAGTTCTCAGCAGCCACCTTGCATTTATTTTCATGTTAGAAGATTTACTAAATCTATGTTTCAGGAATTTCTGATGGCATCTTTCCTTCTCGCCTTCCTTTTCACATCTTCTAGGCCAGGAGTCCCCAACCCTTTCGGAACTGGGCCGCGTGAGCGTGCACACACGCAGCTCCACTTGCACAAAGGGCGGGTGAGCGCATATGCATGCAAAGCTCCATTTGTGCGAGTGGTGTGTGCCCACTGCTTGTGCAAAGGGAACTACACACACACACTTGCTCGCCTGCAGCCACCCACTCTCCCCCTACCCACCAGTCCACAAAGCCGGAAAGGTTGCGGTTTATTTTAAATAAACCCTACCATCACCTCACCGTCAATGCTTCAAGATGAGGTTCCCCAACTCCCAATCCACAGCCCACCAGGAACTGGGCTGTGTAACTGAGCAGAGCCCCATCCTTGCATGTGCCTGCTCCAGGCAGCATGCAAAACCACATCCTGTCCTCCACAGCAGGGGTCTCCAACCTTGGCAACTTTAAGCCTGGAGGACTTCAACTCCCAGAATACCCCAGCCAGCAAAGCTGGCTGGGG